ATCATTGAGATATTACAAACAATAATCATCTACAATTTTTCGACGCATTCGTAAATAGTTGATATTTCATAATATTTTTTTATTTTTCATCATCTGAGAGTTACTTTTGAAAACATTTATTCCAGTTTCGATGATTTTTGATAATAAAGAAGACAATTTCATATTTTCCAGGAATGTTCAAAAATCCAGCGCCAACAAAATATTATTTAAAAAAATAGCAATAGATAGGAGTAAGATTAGTAGCGAACAATTAAGTTTTTATTTTTCGTCGTAACTAGTCACTTTAAATTCAGAAAAATGAACGATATATGGACATCAAACAAGATATTCTAATAAAAANGTAACTGTTTAGGTAATAATGTCAAGGGTAACTGTTTAGGTAATAATGTCAAGGGTAACTGTTTAGGTAATAATGTCAAGGGTAACTGTTTAGGTAATAATGTCAAGGGTAACTGTTTAGGTAATAATGTCAAGGGTAACTGTTTAGGTAATAATGTCAAGGGTAACTGTTTAGGTAATAATGTCAAGGGTAACTGTTTAGGTAATAATGTCAAGGGTAACTGTTTAGGTAATAATGTCAAGGGTAACTGTTTAGGTAATAATGTCAAGGGTAACTGTTTAGGTAATAATGTCAAGGGTAACTGTTTAGGTAATAATGTCAAGGGTAACTGTTTAGGTAATAATGTCAAGGGTAACTGTTTAGGTAATAATGTCAAGGGTAACTGTTTAGGTAATAATGTCAAGGGTAACTATTTAGGTAATAATGTCAAGGGTAACTGTTTAGGTAATAATGTCAAGGGTAACTATTTAGGTAATAATGTCAAGGGTAACTGTTTAGGTAATAATGTCAAGGGTAACTGTTTAAGTAATAATGTCAAGGGTAACTGTTTAGGTAATAATGTCAAGGGTAACTGTTTGTTTCTCCGTAGATTTCAAATCTTTATAAGATAACAAATAGTTTTCAATCGTTTCTGGTTAGACGTTAACTTTTAAAGGGAATGCAGACGACTTTTTTGGTTATTCTACGGTACATTTTTGTGTTGAATGACATGTTCGATTCACAACGGTGCTAATTGATTTGTGATGATTATTAGATTTTCTGGAAAGATAACTTTTGGATTTATGCATCAAAGAATATGAAGGAAATAGTCAGAATTAAACACTTTTTTCCTTATTTAATGGTTTAAAATTTATAAATCGTCCGCTAAATTTCAGAATGGAAAAATGAAGACGACGAGAATTTTAGTGTTTATATATTTTATCTCTGCGAAAATATTAATTTCTGCGAAAATATAACGGTAAAAATAGATTTACATGGGTTCCGGCTGAGCCTGGCAGAATTCCGTCTATGTTACTGAATTTTATATTTATTTTATACAGAGGGCGAATGTCGTGAACATGGATCACATTGGACTGCAAAGGTTTAGCCTAATTAAATCAAATCGAATTTCTCTACTTATATAAAAAATTAAGAAATTCCGCAATATTAATTACGTATTTTCTTCACAAAAAGTTGTTATCTATCAACGCTAAACTTACCCTACAAATACCTTTTAAAGATACTCCTGTACAATGCAACACTAAAGAAATTTTTTATGATTTAAAATCTGATTTCTTCGAGCTCTTTTTTTATATACACTTCTGTATAATCCAACACTAAATAAAGTTTATATGATTTAAAATCTGATCTCATTTAGTTCCAACGTAGAAATCAATACTTTAAGTTAACTAATGCTTCCTTTTACTAATTCAGTACGAACTGAACTCGAACGCCTCCTGAACCTGCGGATAACCGAGACATACTTCACCGCAGCAAAGAAACGGCCGAGCCACCAGTTAACGGAGATAAACAGAGGAACCATGATCTCACAAGATACGACGATTCGGGGTTTACACTATCCTATTTTATATATTTCCTAAATTTTAACAAGGATCCATCAATGGTCCTTGCTTTTAAAATGGGAAACTAGCTCCCCAGCATGTTTATATTAAAACATGCACAAAGTTATTTGTGGCATTTTATAACAAGAGATAACACATATTATTGTTTATATCTTTAAACCATTATACCCTTGCCTTAAGCTTAGGTTGTTTTTAACCTCATTTCTAACGAGGAACGGTCAATGTTCCTCGTTATGAACATTCCTTCCCGTGTATGTTTATGTGAAAGCATGCACACTGTTAATTATAGCATTTTTCAATAAGAGATAACACACACTGTTTTTGTAGTATACCCAAGTCATACCTCACAAAAGTATGCTATCCTTTAATATATAATAAAGTTTTTTTTTCAGAACTGTTACTTTGTCAACACTTTAATCAAAAATTACTAGAAATCCAAACATGAAAAAACTTGTAAAAAAAATTGTATCCGTAAAATTCTAGATTTCAACCTTATCAATTTATAATTGTATGTACACTATAACATCTCAAAAAAGTTTTGTGTTGAAATTAACAATATTAACAATCATGTAAACTATAGTAACCTTGATACTTGAATAAATATCTAGATCTTAAAAAATAATTTCAGTGTTTTGTGGTTCTCACTGTATGTTCTACATGAAACCTGAAACTTTCCAATTTCTAAAGTCCCATGCTCTAAATCCATAGAATGTAAATCCATTTTATTTGATTTTACTGGCTGTCAGAACACATTTAGGTCTATAGTGATGAATTGACTAATTTTCTATTTTCTAAACAGATCTCAGTACATGGTACACCAAGAATACAATAGGATAGTGTAAATTAGTTTTTATTTTCGGGGGGTGGGGGGAGGGGGGCAAGAATATACATTTTTTAAAACGAATTTTGAAAAAGTCTAAATTGGGGGGTATGGGATCTGAAGGGTAGGGGATTTTGGTAAGGGGAGTCCGGAGGGGAAGGGAACTTGGGGAGGGAGGAAATTAGGATTCTAGTCAAAGAGAATAGAATATATATTAGAGGGGAATTTACTCGAAAAAAGTGTGAAACGGCCATTTTGTTGTACTGTTTCCATACTGCATGTGTACTTCACATATTTGTGCTATATATTTTTTTGGGCCCTGGAATATCATTTTATAGAAAATCTAAAATTATTGTTAAAAGAAAACCAAATTATGCAATACGCTGGTTTCATGATTGACCAATGATCATTTCACATAGACTCTATGCCTTCCACTTTACAAACGATGATTTTCCGTTATAACTATAAATCAAATGATGTTTTTTATTCACCTGATTCATTATAAAGTTTATTTAACAGCTTTAAAAAAAATCGAAATTGAAATGGATAGTCTAGGGAACAAACTGTATTAGTGTACTCTACTGCATATAATTTGTGAAAATTTACATGACTTGTACGCTTTGAACTCCCTTTTAGCCTGAAAGGGACTGAAAAAATTCATACCGAGAGATTCGCTAAATTCCCCTCTAATATATATTCTATTCTCTTTGATTCTAGTGCATGGTTCCCATCGAACTTATTATTTCGTTACAACGCTTTGAAGTTTTGTAGGAAAAGACATGAATTTTATATAATTCTACCTGACGTAAACAAGTTTTCTAAACATTCAAATTAAGTTTAAACCAACGAGGTTATAGTATAAAGAGTGATGATGTACGCTAATCCTTTACTAATTGTACAGGCCGTGTACTCCACTTTCAAAGGTCAACCTGTTACAGTACTTGGGGGTATTTTTTATGCCACGTATGTTCAATTGGTCCTCTATTTATAAGAGTGATATCAGATTAAGAACGGAAGAGGAAGGAAGAGGACTTTAAAGTTTAGGAAGGGGGGGTAGCCACCCTGGCTTAAACTTGATAATATTGCTCCTAAGATATCAAGAAGAAGATGCAACTTAGATAATATTTTCATGAAATTTTTACTTTTCCGGAATCCGCCATTTTAAATTTCCATCTATCTTTAAAATCTAAATCTGATTCTCTGTTCTAGCTAAATATTAATCACATTGAACGTTCGATTTATTAAGTCAATTAATTAACTCTTTTGATTTTGTTAAAAGCTGGCTGATGAAACAGCTGATTTGAGCGGCATTATCCATTTAGGTTTATATATTTATTTAGTTTCAGAAAATTGTTAGAAATGGAGGGGCCGAGGGGTTCAGAGGCGCGGGGGGGGTTAGAAAAGAAGGGAAATGTGAATTGGAAAGAGAAGGAAAAGGGGAAAGAGGAGAAAAGAAAAGGAAAGAAAATGGGCAAAATGAGAAGAGAAGGAAAGAGGGGGGGAAAAGAGAAAGAGAGGTAAAGAGTGGGCAGGAAAAGAGTGAAAGAGAGGAAAGAGAGAGAAGGAGAGGGAAAGAGAGGGAAAGATAAGGAACGAGAGGGAACGAGAGTGAAAGAGATAGAAAGAGAAGGAAAGACAGGGAAAGAGAGAGAAAGAGGGGAAAAGACAGGGAACAAGGGGAAAAGAGATGGAAAGAGAGGGAAAGAGGCGGAATGACAGGGAAAGAGAGAGAGAAAGAGGGGGAAAGAGAGGGAAAGAGAGGGAAAGAGGCGGAAAGACAGGGAAAGGGGGGAAAGACAGGGAAAGAGAGGGGGGTTTAATTACTAACACCATCTGTTTGGTTTCATATCTTCTGATAAACCATGAACAGAATAACAATAACAAGAGTATCGCTGCTTCAGCACACAATCAAATATTTAACACATTTTATGGAAAATTTGAAATAATACGTGACAACTGCCAAAAAACGACATGAAAGATATCCAGTTTCTATCTGTGCATTCTATGCATAAGGAATAGTTTAATTTTAATGAATGTTAAATCAAGTATATAGATATTTGAAAGAGATGGTATTATAGGATTTAAAACTTTTTTCATTTTTTATTTTATTTTGCACTTCAATTTTATAACATAAATCCCATTAACCTTTTTCCATTTATATATTTCAAAGTTAAAAGAAGAAGGAATCAATGCTTTTACAGAAAAAAATTGCTTTTTATTAAAATTTTTTATCATTTTTATCATTATTATTTTAATGACTGTACAAAAAATTTCCTACCGTATTTTCTAAAGGAGTTCGGCCAACAATCCTCAATTCGCCCATTTCGAATTACTTCCGGCTTCTGAAAATTAAAGAGTGAATTTTTGATAAAGTAATTGAGTCTTAGCCACAAACTAAAAATTTCTAATCCTGATATATTTGCAACCTGATTGAGTAAACCTTAGATATTTCAAACTTCGATCTAGTAGAATTCATAGTTTGAAATATCTAATACATTGGGTTACCAAGATATAGGAATTAGAAAATCAGAGATTGTGCAACGACTTATGATATTTTCGTATCAAATCCTTTAAAAGGTAGAGTAAATCTTTTGTTAGATGAATTATTTTTAACTTCAAAATCTTGCCAGTTTGAGAAAATCTCATATTGAATATTCCATAGATTGAATTGGATTTGCGGATTTTTAACATTGATATTTTAAGAGTTTCTTTCTTTTAAAATACGAAACGTTCCAATTTTTGTTAGACAAATATAATTATCATGAATTAAAACAAATTCAAAAAAATTGACAGAATATAGTACATACATTAAAGGACACCCTTTAGATAGAAAGATATTTAGGTGGGAAGTATATATGGATGGGAAGAGAGATAGATAGATGGGAGGAAAGATAAACGGATAGAAAGATAGATAAATGGGAAGAAAGATATATAGATAGAAAGATAGATGGAAAGATAGATAAATGAGAAGATATATAGTTAGAAAGACTGATGGGAAGTATAGATAGATGGGAAGAAAGCTAGATAGATAGAAAGCTAGATAGAAAGATAGATAGATGAGAAGATATATAGTTAGAAAGACTGATGGGAAGTATAGATAGATGGGAAGAAATCTAGATAGATAGAAAGCTAGATAGAAAGAAAGAAATATAGATGGGAAGAAAGAGAACCCCAATGGTTTGTTGAATAAAGAAGTGTGATATATTGGTTTGGTGGTTGAGGCTGAAAAAAGAAGTTTAGCCACATGGGTTTCACTCGAATATGTGTAAGCAAAGTTTTGGAAAAAAGCGGCCCCTATAGGTAGAAGGTTATAATCAGTACAAAAGAAGATTCTAACCTATTGTATGGAAGTTTATAATCAGCACTAAGGTAGGTTCTGACCTATTGAATGGAAGCTTCTTATCAGCACTAAGGTAGGTTCTAACCTATTGTATCGGAGGACCTCATCTGGATATTGGAGGTTATAACATATTTGTGGTGTCAGATGTTCTAATCCATGTTATCGGAGGTTCTAGCCTGTAGTATCGGACGTTCTCATCTGTGTTATCGACATTTTCAATCTGTGATATAGGAGGGCCTAGCCTGTGTTATCTACATTTTTAATCTGTGATATAGGAGGAGGGCCTAGCCTGTGTTATCTACATTTTTAATCTGTTATATAGGAGGAGGGCCTAGCTTGTGGTATCCATGAGGTGCTAACCTTTAATATTGGAGGATTTAACCTGTGTTATCAAAGGTTCTAAACTTTAGCATTGGAGGTTCTATAATTTGTGGTATCAGAGGTTCACACCTTTGAATCGGAGGTGCTAACCTTTGAATCGCAGGTGCTAACCTTTGAATCGGAGGTGCCAACCTTTAATAAGGGAGGTACTAACCTATGGTATCTCATGGGATCTAACCTGTGGTATCGGAGGCGGTATCTTAGGAGCAGCTAGTCCAACTAATGCAGCTGCTTCTGCTAGTCCACTTCCAGGTCGTCCTCCTGTTAACCCACTTAGAGGTCGTCCAATGGTCAAGCCACTTGATGGCCGGACTATTTCTAGTCCCCTCGGACGATCTCTGGTCAAATACCTTTCATCAAGAGTCGGCGATCTGAAAATAGGTTAGCGTAATGTTAATGGGACTGTCGTTGCATTTTCAATGTGACCCTCGCTTTTATGAGGCATATTCCCGATTCACATTGGTACCTTTCATCAACATTATCTTCTTTATAATAAAGCTCTTTGCTCATATACAATATACAAATATATATATATATATATGTATATATATATATATTTTTGTATATTTGCATATATGTTAGCTTTAGCTGGCCAAACGGCTGGACCAAATTGGTTGATATTTTTTTTAGGGAACCCAGGGTATCCCGGGGGGTAACAAAGGCTACAAAAACCGATTTTTTTTTCTTCTGAATTCCACGGGCAACGCCGGACACTTCGGTTTGTTTTACATGGATATACAAACGGCAATTTAAAAATTTTCTAAAAAATGACCTAATTTGCCCACTTTCTGCTCCTCGGGAGACAGCATCTTGTCGAATTCTATCCTCCGGTCGTCTCATACTCTCCTGCATCCTGTCCTTCGACCTCCGATGGTTGTTGTGTATTCTCTCCTCCGATCTGCTATGGTTATCATGAGTCCTGTCCTCTGACCTCCGATGGTTATCGTATCCTCTATCCTCCAACCTCTTTCTGTTATCTTGGAAATTCCTCCCTGATGCTCTCATTGAATGATCTGTATTCATTCCCTGAAAAAAGGTTCGATACAATTGTTATATCATTACCGGATGTCCTATACCATTACCATTGACAGTTTAACTTTGGCATTTTGGTCTTGCAGAACTAATAGTTTGAATTAAAAGTCTTTAAGCATTAGAATTGTAAAGATATAATGAATATAGAATAAGGATTTGAGGCAAGTAACGCAAGGGTTACCTCTTGTCGATCCCAAGTTTGTCTGCTTGAAGAAGATCCTCTTGCCTCGCGATCTTTAGAGGATCGAACACTTTCTCTGGATCGAATCTCTCTTGAGCTGTCTCCATCCTGTCTGGAAAATCTTGTATCGTGTCTGGATCTTATCTCCGTATGTTCCTGGGTACCTGGAGTAGATGTGAATCTACTTACTTTTTCCACTTCCCCACTTAACCACCGGTGATTGCCTTAAAAGTTAAAGAGACTGTGAGCGTAATTTCAAGTGACCCTCCATGCAAAAATAGCAATGCCCGAACCACGGTACCCTTTAAGGGAGTTTTGAACGTCAATTTGCGCTCAAACTCAGGATTTACAGATCTTTAAAAAATTTTATATGTTTCAAATGAATCCGGAAGAAGTTTTCCACAACACTGCATACTCAGTTCATCTACCTTGCATAGCCGGTCACTCCCTTTAACCTTTATCTGATTAACAGTGTAAAGATAATGTCGTTTTTCTGAGTCAAAAATTCACTTTTGTTGAAAATAAAGCCACAAATAAGTATAAACAGTTTAAATGATCAAAAACCTGGATATCTAAATTATACTTGATCAGACAAAGTTGTATATAGGGTACCGTTGTAAATCGGACAATGCCATCTTTGCATGGAGGTATGGTCACTTGAAGATGAAGTTACGATCACATTCCCTTTATAATATAATCGAAGAATATAATCGAAGAATACATAATTAAAGCAAGACTAAGAATACTGCAAGTCTAAGGAAATATTTTAATATTTTTCGACGATTACGTCCCCATCAAATATGATTATGTACGACTTAAAGGACAAAAAAAACTGGAGGCTTTCTGACCACAGAAGTAATTTTTTTAGACATATGTAGTTCAATCAATTATTGCTATTTATTAAAACACTTCTCTTCAACTTGAACAAATGGAAGTAGTTCAACTTCGTGTACGCGGTTCAGCTAATTCTAGCTATATACTCATTAAATTCAACCTCTGAGCATTTTTTTAACAACTATGGATAAAAACCTAAACAAATTACTCTGAAATATTACTTCATTATTTTCAAAAATATTTTCCAAATTGGTTTTTACCTCTCCCTTGGTTCCCAACTGTATCCTCTAAACCTCCATTCTACAAATTTCAATTAAAAATTTGTGGAAAATAAGTTTGATCAGTTTTTGAACCATATTTGTCGATAATCTTATTTTTTGAAAATTAAACTTCTTTCGATTACATTTATAATTTCAAACTGTCTAGTCAGGGCATTAAATAATATAGAAAATATTTGTTTGAAATTGATTATTGAGAAAAATGAAGAAACCAACAATTGTAAATAAGATTTTTTTTTCAATTTTCTTAGACTTGATGCTTATATTTTTGTATTGCAGGTGTTTTCAACTATTTTGTCCTTTTTTGCTGTACATCAAAATACAGCTTTTTAACAAATGTTGGTAATTGTAATTGCCCCCTTGTACCCTGTTGTACTTTGAATTGTACCTGGTGTGAGTACAATGAATCCTTGTACATAGATTCAATATCAAGGCTAGGTTCTGTATTATGATCTGTACTTGTCTCTGTACTGCTGTTGAACTGTAGCTGTGCATCTCTGTACACTCCGTACATATCTTCACTCTCCTCGTACTGAGAGTTGGATCTGTAAAAAAACGCAAAAAATGTTTAAAGGTTAATCATCTTCATTCTTAGCTAGTTCATACTGAATATTTATTTATATTTGACTAATGTTAAACATCTATTTTTATTATTATTCAGTGATAACTAGAAAACAAAAAAATAGGAAGACATCATTAATCATTACTTAAGTGTATTTGATGTTCTTAAAACAATAATAGTTTTACTAGATCACAAATTTAGTGAAATACACAGCACAATTTTCTGTGTTTCGTGCACATTGGACTTTTTAAAGCTATAACTTGATAAAATATAAAAGTCGTCTTCTTGTTTCAGAGTTTTCTGGTTATCACTGTATACATTCATAGAAAACATTGGTCAGTACAGATATGGGTGATAACAGCTGTTTTAAATTATAGGCCATACATAAAAAATTTTAAAAAGCGAAGATAATAATTGGTTAGGAGAAAATGATGGTATAAGGGGAGGGAAAATGATGGTATAAGGGGAGGGAAAATGATGGTATAAGGGGAGGGAAAATGATGGTATAAGGGGAGGGAATATGATGGTATAAGGGGAGGGAAAAATGAAGAAATAAATTGACGTAATGTTGATTTGTTAAGTAATTTGCATATCACAGAAAAGGGGAGCATATGTAAAACAAATAAAAAATGTGAATGTTGAATAATTAAAATTTTGTGAAAATGTTTTCTGCACTGACACGAGTAACCTTGGTTAGTGTCGGCCAAGCATGGAATTTATATCAATTAGTTATTTACAAACAAATCTGCATGTCAGGCGCGCATGCCTAACTAATTTTAAACAGGGCGTCCCTGAGCACATGCAAAATATTTTAACGTTATTTACCAAGAACATATCCTTTTTTGTTGACTTATGGCTTTCAAACATTTTTATTCAATTTGTTCACCACTTGGAACTCAACCTAGTAGCACTGCAAACCAAAACGCAAAAAATATCAACGCTTTGTAAATTACTCCTTTTACAATTAAGCAGCTATGAAACCAGCCCAATGCATTTATAAAATGTATATGCCTAGGGCTACACAAAAATGTAAGTAAGTTGGTGAGGTATTACCAAAGGCCATGGCGTTGCCATACTTTACAGTCGAGGCTGTCTAAAAACTTGATGACTAACTATCAAAGTTGTCTAGCTAAATCTCAGTGGTAGATTTTCTGTTAAATTGAATTTATCTTAAAACCCTACGCTTGACTATTCTAGAAAGAGTCCATTAATCTATGCAGCGCATAAAACTAAAATGCAACTTCTTATATTTTGTTTATGTACAGACGCTAATTATAATATTATTCAGAAAATGGTGTTGAAAAGTGAGTTTTCATGTTTTTAATTAACTATTTTCTTAATATTTTCTCATTGTGGTTTAATTTTTCATTAACATGTTTTATTCTATGTTTAAAAAAATTGTAGCCTTAAAACTGTTGTGAAAATAATTACACACTAGTAATTATGCCACCAACTTATCTTTTTAAATCCCAATATCTTTCCATTCTGATACACATTTGTTAATGCAAAAATCTTAGTTGAATTTTCATAAGTTTCTCCCATCGGATTGCAAAGCTATACGGATTGAAACATTTGTTAGTAATAATCTACATAGCTTGAATTAATATTAAAATTACCTCTTCGAATTGTTTTCTTTCTCACGGCTCCTCGAATGTTTGTGCTTTCTATAAAAAAAGATTTTTTGCACTTTAAAGTAGTTTTCTTTAAATTTTTTTTTTGTTAAAATTCTGAATGAAGATTTGTGTAGTATCTATGTGTACCTGTTGTGAGGGTGATGTGAGTGTTTATGTGTATGTTTATGTACCTGTTGTGAGGGTGATGTGAGTGTTTATGTGTATGTTTATGTACCTGTTGTGAGGGTAATGTGAATGTTTATGTGTATATTTATGTTCCTGTTGTGAGGGTGATGTGAGTGTTTATGTTTATATTTATGTACCTATTGTGAGGGTGATGTGAGTGTGTATGTGTATGTTTATGTACCTGTTGTGAGGGAGATGTGAGTGTTTATGTTTATGTTTATGTACCTATTGTGAGGGTGATGTGAGTGTGTATGTGTATGTTTATGTACCTGTTGTGAGGGAGATGTGAGTGTTTATGTGTATATTTATGTACCTTTTGTGAGGGTAATGTGAATGTTTATGTTTATTACCTGTTGTGAGGGTGATGTGAATGTTTATGTTTATGTACCTGTTGTGAGGGTGATGTGAGTGTTTAAGTTTATGTTTATGTACCTGTTGTGAGGGTGATGTGCATGTTTATGTGTATGTTTATGTACCTGTTGTGAGGGTGATGTGAATGTTTATGTTTATGAACCTGTTGTGAGGTTGATGTGAATGTTTATGTTTGTTTTTATGTACCTGTTGTGAGGGTGATGTGAATGTTTATGTTTATGTGAAGCAGAATCCATCCCTAGAAATGTTCCTCAGCTAGGGGTTGAACAAAAATGTCTAATTCCTGAAAGAAAAAGTTATTGACAGAAAACTATTAACCCTATCCCTGCTGGGGACATGAAAACCAGGATACGCTGGGGGTCAATTTG